CTGTCCGAGTTTGTGAATACGTCGTTCATGCAGTTATGCTTCCTAGTGTTGCAATCCAGGCTGTTGCAGAGTTGTATAGAATTTGAAATGTTTTTTGTGCTCACCATGACAATCACATGATCATTTTTACCATATAGTCTAACCATATAAGCAAATTACCCCAAATTAATTGTTGGTCTTATTGGTGCAATTTGTTGAAGGGGGTATTTGAAACATGGACGTATAAAATGGGTACTTCAATTTTTGTGGGAAAAGTCTTTATTTGACAACAAATAATGGGAGAACGTGTTTTTTGGGATTCAATCAAAAGCCAGGAACAAAATAACTTTCATCATAAGATTTTTAGGTATTTATGAGACCCACAAAATAAGACGACATGTAACAAGATCCGACTAACAGCAAAAATGTTATGGCTGAAGAACGAGACAGAATGCAGGTTCTGGCACTTGTTGGTAATGCGACGATAATTTCAATAATTCTTTAAATCCATAGGACTCATACTTCTATATGACAACAACAAAATTGGACTATGTTGGTCAAGTAGTTTTTTGAGACTTTTCAGTTGTTTATCCAAAAACACCTGTTTTCCGGCCATCACTACTAGGCTATTGAGCAATATCCAGGGTTCGCTCAAAGACCATTTAATAGCAAAATACACATGTTTACCTTGCTGATATGAACCACAAATCATTCCGAAATATAGATATTATTTTTATACAAAAACGGATCAGTTACGTTTTTTTCTTCTCAATAAATTCAAAACATGTATTTGTGAGTAATTAAGCAAATGCGTTTCGATATTCGAAAGACAAAGGCTACTATACACATTTTAAAAGAAAGCGGATGTGTCTATCATCTTTTGTTGCAAATTACTCCCAAATACGAAATGTTTGAATTCGTTTAGAAGAAAAAACAAACCCATCTTTTTTGCATAGAAATAACATTTATCTTCTGAAATGGTTTGCGATTCATATCGGCAAGGTATTGTGCTATAAAATGCCCTTTGGACTAACCCCGTGTATTGCTTAAATAGTGTTTTGGGATAAGTAATTAGAATTAGAAATTCTCAAAAACTACTTGTCCAATCTACCCAATTTTGTTGTGGTCATTTAGAAGTACAAGTCCGACGAATCTGAAGAATTTCAAATATCTGCGAGAAACCATCGTCGCATTACCAACAAGTGCCAAAACCTGCAGCTTGCCTCGGTTTTCGGCCATACCTTTTTTGCTATCAGTCGGATGTTTTTACGTGTGGTCTCATTTTGTAGGTCTCATAAATACCTGAAAATCTTGTATGAAGAGTTTTTTCGTTCCTACCAATAATTTCAATTGAATCTCAAAAACACGTTTTCTCATTCTTCGTTGTTTCCCACAAAAATTGGTATACTTATTTTATTCGTCCATGTTTTAAATACCCCTTTGAACAACTTGCAGCAATAAACCAGACTTTACAATTACTGATACCGTAAGAGTCTTTAAAAAGAGATAAAACTAAATTTGGAAAGTGTATGTTAGGCTTCACCACACCTTCTACAATGGAATGTCTTTGTGGCAAAAAGGAATACCTGTATATAATAAAATATGCATGTTTTGCAAATTCGTTGCCGATGACTGTTTAGATTTATCACTTTCTGCTTGCCGTTGTTATACACCTCTATCTGTTCACTGATCGCCGTTAAGACACTGTCTCTGGCGATGATCCCATTGCTTAAATGAGCATCGATAATCAGAACCTTTTCTGATGTGTTTGTGTTCCAATTGATCTGGTATCTACAGGATAACTTTGGAGTTGAGTCATTAATTTTCAGATAATGATTGTAGAAGGAAGATAAACCAAAATATGTGTGTAAAAATAAAAAAAAAAATAAAAAAATTTTTAGCTTGTTTTATAAAGTATCCTCCCGACAAGTATTTCAGTGCGGACCTGTATTTGATCGTGAGGTCTTGGAGCACCGGCATGCCGTCTCCTGTGAGGTCTTAAGTCACCTAATTCACGAGCCCGTTGTACTACATTAACAAAGGCACGAGGGGTTGGTTGCACTCGATTGGGAAACCGATCCGCATAAACATGTGCAATTTTTTATTTCGTTTGAGCCACGCAACAGACACCACTATTCACTCACGCGTTACCGACTGACACTGACTGTATACAACTGAATAAAATAATTGTAAAAACATCGTTCCAAATTCTTTCGCTTTTTTGTTTCCGATGCGATGAACCGATAAGGCGGATTATATCCGTTGTTGCCAAACACGAGCACATAATATTATTATTGAGACAGGGCGGTACTCAAACTTCCAAAGGGCTATAACTTTGTTACTTTAATTTTACCAGAAAAATGGTAAAGGAAAAAAACATTTCTTTTGATCAGATCTACTCGCTGTTAAAATAAATGACTCAACTTCGAAGTATAACAGTTTCTTTACATGCAACTTTTTCAATTACGCTTTTCAAGTAATCAGTAGTATCCTGCATAGCTGCCAGCTTTCTGTACATTTCGTCGTTTTTATTGGTCAGTTCAATTACTGTATTGTTGAACTCCTCAATGTCTGTTTCCTTTTGTATTTTGGTCTATTGGGTCGTAGACTTGTATGTGTATGTAATGGGTGTTTTGAGACCGGTTTAGTCGCTATATTACTGACTTTTGTTTCTTGCTTTATTGTCGAGCATTCATGTTGGTATTTTTTTGGGAAGATATTTGACGAAGTGGCAACATTGCTTCACAGTTGATACATTCCAGAAATATGACTGATGTTGCTATTATTGGTCAAAAACTAAATTACTCACAAAAAACCAATACTTCTCACCCATCTCATCAGGAATGCTGTTGATAATTCCTTTAAAACATGGAAGGGACAGATTATATTATCTATTTCCTCAAATACTTTCGGTGAGATGCTATAACTGCGACCTTATCATCTCACCACCAATAAGCAAGTTTACTTCAAAGTACATTTGTTTGAAAAGGATTTCCACAGCAGTTTTGAAAACAGTTGCACAAGATATTAAGATAGTGTTATTAAGATTTCTATTTTTAGTTTTATTGGCTGCTTTCAGTGCGGGTTCTTTGAGCTGAAAGCAAGTTTATTACAGCCGTAACAGTTATCTAAAAACAAACTGCAGTTTTATCAACAATCTTAGTGCATCCTTAAAAGACTTGATAAACCCGTTTGGTGCTACTTGGGTAGAACTGTACCGTACTGTTGCTTGCAAAACACCATGCAAAAATATTTTATGGGGTTAACTATGGTTACAGAGATGGAAAGCAAACAGATTCAGGTCAGCCCTTGCCTATTTATGCATAGCAAGTCATTGCTGGTAGCTTTGAGAATACTTCGTATTACAGCTGATTGAAGGATATTGCCAGGTCTCTTTTTAATCATGGTGGGCGACCTCTATCCGCAAATTGTTCTTCCGTGTATGTCAGAGGCTCAGCTGCTTTCAGCATTTTCAGCATATGGTCGAAGATGTATCTAGTTTGGCGGACTGCATATTTGAAGGTGGCAGCTGTAAATGCTGTCGCCTCTTTGGGCAATGCTTACCATAGGGTTCAAAAATAAACTCCTTCATCTGCAGCATGCGTTTGATGCGGTCCAGTTTCTCCCGCTGTCGGGTTAAAACGGCCAATTTTATGAAGGCCAAAAAATGAGCGACAACCAGTCCAAAATGGATGAAGAACATCGTCAAATCATCAACGATGTGAAAGCGAACAAGTATCTCCAGGTAGAAGAAAAATACGGCGAAGATGAATACAATCACACTCCATGTGTAGATTAGGATATTTTGGACAGTTCTTTTTCCTGGTGCTGCTGGAATCCCTGCAACTTCAATTATTAAGTTATTCAATATCTTAATATATGTAATGTTGACAAAGTTGCCTCTGTCGCTTCTGGACCAATTTTCAAAAACTACAAACTTTCGTGTTTTTGGCATTGCGTAAAAATTTCATCGAAATCCGAGCGGACAGACCGACAGAAAGGCAGGCTGACGGAGATTAGTGACATTGTTTTTCAAAAATGTTTGCGATTAAAATGGATTTCTATGAAAAAACAACTTTTGATATGCAGCTGAATTCTGTATAATCCTGAACATTTTTGAAATGTTTCCCGCTTGTAGAGTGCAAAATAATTCTAAACAGTCTTAAAAAAGTGTGTCTCGACGCAATATTGTGTGCATGCGAGTTTGAGTAACATGATAGAGCTACAATGTTGGTAAATTAGCCCGAAAGGATGACAATAAGAAATTAGATAAAAATCAAACTACAATTACGTATGGTGTACTGAACCCATAATACGCTAAAATAGTTAACGGACTGTTTAACTTGGAGAGATTGTATTTCGGAAACTACTGGAGGAAGAAGTTTAAGCCCATCGACGCTTTTGTTCTAGACTGCACTTAATATTCAGCAAAATTAGATGATAGCTATTCCCTATAAGGTTTTTGCAATGTTCTTTCTACGCCAGTTATGAAATCCAATAAGGGCGATAATCCCCAAATATACTAACTCAGCGTAGTTCTGAAATGGAAGGATTCAATTCTTCATACGGATTTTATCTAAAACACATCAAACCAATTTTTTTTCAAAACAAAAGTACGTGGCATAGAAAATGATTTTCTGTTTTCTTCTGCAGAGGTCAACATATTGTACGCTAATCGTATAGTTTGAGCCGTTAAATTTATTGTACGTTATTAATATTACACGTACAAAATTTAACCCAATACCTGAATCGACTACGCTGATGTAAGGGTGCATTTTAGAACCTACTTTTATAGAAATTTTCCGCTATATTTTCGAAATTCCTTTCTCAAATCTTGCCACAAGGTATTTTAATCACTTTGTATTTGATCCCTATCAAGTTTATAGAAAACAGGAAACATTCTCAACGTTTTATGCCTTATTGTGTGTTTCAGAATTAGAATAAATTGAACTACCATCAAAAAAATATATTGCAACATTAATAAAATCAAAAATTAGCTTCTATTTGTTATGAATACCTACCTTTGCTCATAAGATTCAACGTTGCAAAAAAATCATCGTCTTCTTCGGAGGACATTCTGTTCGTTACTGAATGACGCATAGAAACTTTTCTATTTAAAAACGATTAGTGGATTGTATGATGAAACAACATCGATTGTGGGACTTTTGCATTGTAAGCTTTGTACAATGATGTTTAGATGTGCTAATTAAAAAGGACGGTTGCTAGATCCTTAGCTGATTTCTTTGTAAGAGTGAGGCGTGTGGTACCATTTCTTTGCTGAATTATTTATTAGGGCCTATAACAATGGAAACTATTAGAAATGCTTATAATTAATGGCCTATTAGATGACTGCTCCTTATTATGGTGTTTCGCGTTGTACAGGGTAGCCACCGTTCAACTTTAACCATCACTTAAGAAATATATTAAAGCGGACAAGGTAAATCACTAGAAATTATTTTCAGTTGTTTAAAATGGACTTTAGTAGGCGTAATTCTAACTTCAAAAATAGAAATGAATTATTCACAAACATTCACAATTAACACGTCTATGTTACGTTCAAATACCGATACATCATTGAATGAAACCGAGTTCTGGTCACTGTGAAATTGTAAAACTTCAACATCGCGACATTCGTGTTATATCTCCCATAAAAACGTTCACGACTCGTTGTGGCAACCACAGAAAGACCATATAACAAAATTCGACAATGAAGAAAAGCACTACTTAGTTGGTGTAACCAAATCACTACACCTAGGCTGTAACTCGTTGGCTCGAGCTTACACTTTCTGGGACCAGTATCTATGTTATCATCTGTAATTCAGCAAATTCTTATAAGAATCCACACCAGAAGATGCTGTATTTGTATCGATGAAAAGACTGATTGTAAAAATAAGTAACAGACAAATACTCATTTTCCACATAAAAAGTGAAACCTGATGCAAGTAAATAGTTTAACGGAACATAACTAAAAAACAAGTTCCGATTAATCTCTCGAGGATTGTGGCTTAATCCGTCTTAAGTCGCTGGCACTCTTAACCCCCCTACTCTCCGCGTTGTTGAGCTATGGACTTAATTTGCACGCCACTTGATAGCTGTTTTGCATTTGCTGACCCTTAGATTTCAATTATAGTGTTTTATTCATTTATTAATTAAGAAAAGGAAAGAGGTATCACAACAGCATTTCTTCTTGTTTATAAAAAAAGGCGTGGCAAGTTTCACAAGGTAGCTAGTGCCAGTAGCTTCCTATAAAGTCCTTCAAAAACTTCCGTAAATTCCCCTAGTGCTACGATGAAACAGGCTTCGGGGTCTTATCGCTAGTCGTTCCTCCAATTGTAGGGCGCCTTTATGGTCTCCTTGGTTTCCACTGTTGTCTACTATTCCGTGACAGCGCTCTATTTTGAGGTTGTGTTACAAGTATCTATTTGCATCAAATTGTTTATGCTTTTGACTTATACTGAGTGACATATAAAATGCAACACTCAGAATTATTATCCGTTGAATTTTGATAAAAGTATATTTTCTATCATGGAAGTATTCGCTGATAAAGTCTTGAAGATATTCCGAGCCGTATTTTTTTTGTAAAGGTTTTCTCAGTCTACCTGTATTAGGCCTGTGCCCTAAATGAAATCACAGATATAAAAAATTACAATATTTACGGCTAGAGGCGGTAAACTGTACCTTATGACCAGATTTGTCACTTTCTAACCAACAGATTACAGTACGTCGTGGAGTGATAAGGTAACTTAACCGGTCGCTGTGCATATCGACGACAAAAACTATCCGCGTGTAGTTGTTGCTGAGCAACAAGAGGGCTTTACAACGTAAACAGCCCCAGCAAAAAGCGTTTTGCTAAATTATCGCTCTAAACTGGCATACTCGCTATCGTCTATCGATTCTTGGAAAGCATTAACAATCTGCCAGACTAATAGCAATAACACGTATTTTCCTATCGGCCATCAAACAAGTTTCTCAGGACAGTCAAGGTTTCTGGAATATTGAAAAAGTTGATTTTGCATGCCTCCAGTCACCGAAATCCACTTACAGATGAACACCTAGATAATAGTATACGAACGGCTGTAACAAACATTTAAAAACTTATCGATGACTGTTAGTTAGTAAAATAAATACATGCATCTAGAATACAACTGTGAAATGTTTCATCCAGATTGACTTGCTAGGTAACTGTACATTTCCAAAACTGTCAAAGGCGTTGATGGCGTGGTGGACATAAGGCACATTTACCATAAATGTAAATATAACGTTTTGTACCGTGCGAGTAAAGGAACATCAGAGCACCCCAAGTGCTTTTCAAGTACACATCGCATAATGATCATCGTTGCCAAACAGCGACTGAAGCTGAAATCCTGCTCCCTGGTGGTTTCGACACAGGAGGATGTATCATAATACAACACAAATTAAAAAAAAAACGTTTATGCCCACGTTTTGTGACATTATTTATGGCGCTGTAGGCAAGGACACAATATGAATGAGGCTACGAAATTGGAGCAAAATATTAAGATATATTACAACTAGAAACTAATTATAAATAATGCACTCTGAATATAGTATAGGTAAATGTATTAGCTTTTATTCAAACTCAAATATGTATAAGTTGGTACCAGCTTTCATCCCACATTTCTAAACATTGCTGCATAGGAATATGCTGCCCTGACGATCTGAAATATATGGAAGTTATAATATAGGAAGCATATAATTACGATTTGCGTACTACTATATTCATATATGTTTCCTGTATTTGTCACTTATTTCTTACTTTTTGATTATCCAAGCCAAACAATCTTTTGCATACTAATTAATATCAAGCAGAAGTGATGAGATGTTATACGAGTATTCAGAATTATCTAAGGGATGATTACCAGTCTTCGAGGACCGAAATCTATGCAAATATAAATCACATGCTGCCAGAAATGAATAAAGCACGGTAAAAAAATATTTTGGAATACCTAATATGACCTAAGAAATTATCTTGTTGAAGATAGCTATGCTGGAAAAACTTACGGTGATAATAGTATTATAAGTCAAAGGGAAAAACTTTCCAGCGTTCAGATACATTGGCCTATCCATACGGACCATCATCATCAACATACACTTCTTGAACCTCTTGCTGCAACTGTACCACTCACATTCGTAGGTGATACGTCTAAAATAGAAGCACTAAAACAAGATAAGTTTGGTCATGTACCGGCTATTTGAAATTCGGCTCTTACCATTGGGATCTTGGAAATGGAGAGGGATATTGAAGTTTTTTAAACGGGGACAAGGTTGCGCGTTTAAGTAACCAAGAAAGTAGCACAGGAAGTTATGCAATTTGTTTTAGGAGGCAGAAAGAACTGAACTTTTTCAGAACCGTTCTTATATTTTATTGACTTTATTTAAGGTGGGATTTCACAAAAGAATACACATTAACTTTTTATCCATTGTGAAGCGACAAAATCAAAAATTAAATATGACCTTTCGACCCTAGGACATTCACTCAAGTTATGTGAAGACATTTTTAATTTTTATTTCAATAATGTATGTCATACATTAATATTGCAAAACTATAATTGTTCAAAAAAATATTTCCTAAGTAGTCATCTGTCATCCTCAGCAAAACACTCATTCAAATTTCATGGAGTGGAAATAGGTAATTCGTCCCCATCTCCGACTTTAATTATTTGAATTGGCTATTATGAGATCAATAAGACATCAAATGGCTAAGAAAGCCATCTTCCTACAGCCCTTATCGACCCAAGGAGAAGAGAATGCTAACCTTTTCATACCTTTCAAGGGTAGTAATCGAAACACTGAAAACGATATTTCTTTTTAAAAAACTGATAGAAACGTTCAATAGTGAGCAAAACACCTGTTGATGTTGCAAGTTTGCTAAGAAGATTTGTTATCCGTCATATCTGAGCCGACGCATCTTGCACTTTAATAACAATTATCTACGTCTCAGGAGTTACGTAGGGATCCCTTGACCGAACCCTTGGCCTTTCTGATTGAATGTGAATTCTTTAACGTAATGCAGTCGAAGACAAAGCCTGAGCTTCGGCCGGACCCTATCAATAAATGAGCTAACAAGTAAAAACCTACCATTTCAGTCACTCCGCTTCCGAAATGGCAAACTATGTGAAGTTCGATGATACAAGATATAACGAACTGCACTATACACCAGAATTCTGGCTGAGTGGTAGACAACGTGGACACTATTATTATGTTAGAAGCTACCATGAAGAGAGATCCAACTGTTTGCAGCAATGTAGTCATAGAGAAAACACGCTCCATGTCTTTGTGAATTCTAAAAGAAACAAATATGCTTATTGTTTGTGTGCTTTTGACGGAATAAATTTTCAAAAAAATGAATACATGTGTGGTTTGACTCGCCAGATAAACATGGAGGTTCATTCAAACTAGTTTGTCACCTTTTTGAAGATCCGATTCATTCGAACAAGAACATATGAAAATAGTTTTGACTACAAAAATATCAGTATCAGGTGATGCCTTTAGAGCTATCAGTTCTACCAGGAGTCCAGCTTTTGACATTTATCAAATAAATTAGTCAATTCATCTATTTTCAGCAAAATAATGTGTTTATACATTTTTCATATCATTAAACGTTTTATGTCAAAGCTGACATTGCCTTTATAAACGAGACTGGTGGAGGACGGCGAGAACTCTACACCTGTCTGGATTTTTCATCAACGCTCTGGAATATAGTTAGCTGGTAAAAAAAACACGCCTAATTTCTTTCAATTATTCTACTATCCCATTTCAAGCATTGGTCTCCAGCCAAGATGCAAGGTGCCAAACTAAGTTAGAGTTGGATTTTCCACATGTTCACTGGTGTTATTTAGGATAGGTAAATTGGAGGACTACAGACTAGCTCCAGCTACCTCCGACTAAAAAAATATTAGTGCAAAGGCCACCAGAACCATACGAATGTGCTGCCGAAATTCCCATTTGTTACAATTTATCTATCGCATTCCTGATCATCTCTTGAGGAAAATATTACTAAAAGACAACATATGTTTTCATATATAGA